GGGCCAGCTCTGTGGAGTAGTGGGTAAAGCCGCCACCTGCAGTGCCAGCATCCCATATAGGAGCCGGTTCAAGTCCAGGCTGCTCCACTTCTGATCTAGCTCTCTTCTTTGGCCTGGGAAAGCAGTAGAAGATGGCCCAAGTCCTCTACACCTGTGTGGGAGACCTGAAGGAAGCTCCTGGCCTCAGATTGGCACAACTCTGGCCATTTCGGCCATCTGGGGAATGAACCAGCGGATGGAAGACCTCTCCCCCTTTCTCTGCCTCTGCTTCTCTGTAACTCTGCCTTTCAAATAAATAAATAAATCTTTAAAAATTAATACAAAGTAATAAAAAGCTCTTTAGAAATCCTCTTGAACTTGTACATAGTGTGAGGTAGGGGTGTTTATTGCCCAGCTCCATGCTTTAGCCTGGTATCGGTCTTGGTACTTGGGGGTCACTTGGCTTCTTTCTCCCTCTCCTCCTCCTTGCTCCCTGCCTCCTCCTCTTCTTCCAAAATGATCTTGCCTGTTTTGGTTCCTTCAGTTCTCTTGTCGAGTTGCACGGGACGCTCTGTTGGGACTTGAGAGGCATTGTGGGCAGATTTTGTTGAACCCTGGGTCACTCCGGAGAAGTCATCGCTGAAACCGAAGGAATGCACTGTCTCTCGGGATCCCGCTCCTCAGAGCCTTTCACTGATTTTTTCTATAAAGGACTCGCATATCATTTGTTCAACTTTCTGCCAGGAACTTGCTTTTTTATGCGAGTGTAAACGCTCTCTTCTATTTCATTTCTTTTTGGAGAATGTGTTGCTGGTGTATAGAGAAACAGAGGCTTGTTTAGGATACGGATTTTCTACCAAGTAGCTTTATCTACTCTCATATTAACTGCAAGAATTGCCTTTGGAGTGTCCTTGTGGATTCGCTTTGGTTTTCTGCTTATACAATTGTATCATCTGCAAGTAGCAATCATTTTGTTTCTTCTCTTGCAGTCCTTTTAACCTTTTCTTTTTTCTTAAAAAGACATTTCCATTTATCTATTTCCCTCTTAAAATAATATTTTGTAGGCCGGCGCCGCGGCTCACTAGGCTAATCCTCTGCCTGTGGTGCCGGCACCCCGGTTTCTAGTCCCGGTTGGGGCACTGGTTCTGTCCCGGTTGCCCCTCTTCCAGGCCAGCTCTCTGCTGTGGCCTGGGAGTGCAGTGGAGGATGGCCCAAGTGCTTGGGCCCTGCACCCCATGGGAGACCAGGAAGAAGCATCTGGCTCCTGGCTTCGGGTTGGTGTAGCACGCCGGCCGCAACGCGCCAGCCATAGTGGCCACTTGGGGGATGAATCAACGGAAAAAGGAAGACCTTTCTCTCTGTCTCTCTCACTGTCTAACTCTGCCTGTCAAAAAAATAATATTGTGTATATTATTTATTTGAAATACCGTGTTACAGAGAGACAGGGACAGAGGGAGAAAGAGATCTTCCATCCTCTGCTTCACTCCTCAAATGGCTGCAACAGATGGAGTTGGGCCAGGCCGAAGCCAGGAGCCCTGAATTGCATCCAGGTCTCCCACATGGGTACAGGAGCCCCAGCACGTGGGCCATCTTCTGCTGCTCCTTCAGGCATATTAACAAGGAGCTGGATAGGATGGGAAGCTGGCATTGCAGGTGGGGGCTTAAACCACCGCAGGGGCCGGCGCTGTGGCATAGCCGGTAAAGCCACCGCCTGCAGTGCCTGCATCCCATATGGGCGCCAGTTCGAATCTCAGCTGCTCCACTTCCGATCCAGCTCTCTGCCATGGCCTGGGAAAGCAGTAGAAGATGGTCCAAGTCCTTGGGCCCCTGCACCCACATGGGAGACCCGGAAGAAGCTCCTGGCTTCAGATTGGCACAGCTCTGGCTGTTGCAGCCATTTGGGGAGTGAACCAGTGGATGGAAGACCTCTCTCTCTCTCTCTCTCTCTGCCTCTGCCTCTGCCTCTCTCTCTGTAACTCTGTCTTTCAAATAAATAAATAAATAAATCATTTTTTAAAAAAGGAAGTCATGAAGCATGTGATTAAAAAAAAAAAAAAAAAACCACTGTGCTACAATGCCGGCCTCCTAAATTATTATTTTCCCTCCTTCTTCTTCCTCCTCCTCTCCTTCTTCTTCTTTGTTATTTTTTTCTCTTTTTCCCTCTATTTCTTCTTGAGTGAGATTTTTTTTTGAAAATATTTTATTTATTTATTTGAGAGGCAGAATTACAAAGAGAGAGAACTAGAGACAGAGATCTTC